AACCCACGTGGTTGAAGTCAAAACTTGACCGTAGCCCATGAAGGCCCATAAAAGAGGCCCAAAACGAATCAATGAGAAAAAGTCCAACAGTCGAAGCCTTTTTACATACGAATTCCTAAGCCATATGACATTATTCTGAATCGTCCACTACGAACAAAGCCCTGCTCTTCGAAGCCTTTCTTGCTAAAACATCACTAGCTATAAGGAGCTTCGGATCAAAGGTAGCCCCCGAGGGAAATCCCACTGAAGATCTGCTGAAGCGATTGATGTAACAAGTATCAGATTAATCATACAAAATAGGGTTGTAGGATGGCTCTTCTCAGAGCCCTTATGTGTACAATCCAGCATAGTTGATATGGCTGACGAAATTGTGAAGCTTAAAAATTTCTCAAATGGTAGTACTCTGTGTATCCGAAAAGTCCTCAATTCTGTTTTATTTCTTCGTTATACTTCGTAGTTGGTAAGTCTTATGGGGTCAATTCTCCTAATTTTATCGTTGCAATAATAACAGTTTTTAAGGGAAAGATTGCAGAGATTGAGCTACTACTTACTTAAGTTGATATAATTATTTGAGTGGATAGGATATTTTCTAGTCTTTGAAAACACGTTGAATACTGTGTTGCGTAATAATTTTATTTGTTCTAAATTGTCTTGTTCTTTTTTTGGTCAAAACTGTATAGACATCTTTTTTTGGTCAAAACTGAAGAGTGTCGCCTTCGCTTTTATGTACGTTTAGTTGTATTTCTATCTTCTCAATTTCAACATTGTCATTTGTTAATTTTTTTAACATTCTTTTCTTTCTCCTTCCATTGAAGAAAAGAAAGGTTTGTGCATCATGTACTTACTTCAAAAACTGATCATTTGCTAATGTTTTCTAGCCTGTGTTTTGTTTATTGTGTTACAATAAGGTAACATGTTTTCTTTCATTTTAAGCTTAATCTTACTTCTATATTATCCTTATTAAGTTTGACTAATTATTATGTTAATTTCTATAAGCTTTATGTGAAAACTTATTAAACTTTCAGAATAGTTTGACTTCCCATTAACAAACTA